CTGCCCCCGCCGGCGCGCTGAGGGGCTCCGTCCTGTGCTCGGCAGGCGACGAGGCGTCGGTCAGCCAAGATGACTCCGACAACAGCGTCTCCGAGAGCCTGGACGACTGCGACTACTCGGTGGCCGAGATCAGCCGCTCCTTCCGCTCGCAGCGGGAGCTGTGCGAGCAGCTCAACATCAACCACATGATCCAGAGGATCTTCCTCATCACCCTCGACAACAGTGAGGCTGGGAGCCCCTGCGCTGGGCTGGGGGGGCTGGGGAAACCCCACCTTAGGCTGGGCAGCGCGGGCTGGGCCCATCCAAAACGGGAGGAGGGAGCTGGGAGAGGGAGAAGGTGCCTCGGTGCAGGGGGCAGGGCCCTGCCCACTGGCCTCGCTGCCCGCCGGCACGTTCGCCAACAGCCGAACGCGACAGCCGGTGAGCTCTCGGGCTCTGCGTCTCCCTCAGGCGACCCCAGCATGAAGAGCGGCAATGGGATCCCAGTGCGCTGCGTCTACCTGGAGGAAATGGCCGCGGACCTGGATGACCAGGACTGGCTGGACATGGACAATGTCGAGCAGGTAGGGCTGCCGGCCGTGAGCCTTGTGCTTGCTTTGGTGGCAGGAATTGGGTTTATTTTCTCGTGATGGTCCCTAAACGCAGCCCATGTGCCAAAGCGTGGCACTGCCGGTAGCGGCTCGCCTGGAAATGACCACGGGGTGTTTGGGGGACGACACTGGGGAAGGTTTTGGCCACGCTGCTCCCTGAGGCTGCGGGAGTTTGCTGCCGTGCAGGTCGGCTGGGGATGGGCAGGGGCACAAATTCAGCCAGTAGAACCTTGCTATGCTGCCAGGTGGAACCTTGTGATCCGCCTTTATGAACACACTTAGCATCGTTTGCACACACATCAAGTCGTTCCTGAGGGGTTTTCAGTGAAAATAACTCCTACCAGGGCTACTCTTGCTCTCAAGGGAGCTGCAGGATTTGCTTAGCCAAGGAGCGGCCTGAGGGCTCTCAGTCTAGTGCTCTGTTACCTAATGGGAGCTCTCCTGAGCAGAAATAACATAGCCTGTGCTGATATGGGGCTTCTTTTTGTGGAGGGATTGTCTCTCTGCCAGGGCCGTTTCACTTTCCATCGTCTTTGCTGGTGCCTAGGCCCTGTTCACCCGCTTGCTGCTGCAGGAGCCTGGAAATCACCTGATTTACATGACCTCTGCCAGCACGCAGAACCTCTCCGCTGACCGGGACGCAGGGGAGAGACAGATCCTGCGCTACCTCTACGCCTGTTTCCAGAGGGCAAGAGAAGAGGTGGGCAGGGGCTTCTGAGGAAGAAGGCAGCTTCATCACCCACCTTCCGTGCCCGAGCTGTGGCTCTAACAATGAGCGGTGGGTGCCGGGGCCCCAGCTCAGTCCCGTTCTCCCTGCACAGATAACCAAGGTCCCGGAGAACCTGCTGCCCTTCGCCGTGCGCTGCCGGAACCTGACCGTGTCAAACACTCGCACTGTCCTCCTCACCCCGGAGATTTATGTCAACCAGAACGTGTACGAGCAGCTGGTGGACCTGATGCTGGAGGCGCTGAGAGGGGCACGTAAGTTGGGCCGGGCCGTGCCGCTGGGCCGCCGCTGCCAGGCTTCGCGTTGAAGCCTGCGGGAAGAGCGGGGGGCGAAGCTTTGGCTCCCCTTGTCGCTGAGGGGGAGGGCTGCGTTTCGTGTGTGCACGCTGAGGGTTGGCTGCTTGGGGGATGGTGAGTAGCAGTCTTGCTTCCCCCCGCCAGATTTTGAGGATGTGACAGAGTTTCTTGAGGAGGTCATAGAGGCCTTAACGATGGACGAGGAGGTGCGGACGTTCGGGGAGGTCATGGTTCCGGTGTTCGATATCCTCCTGGGCAGGATCAAGGACCTGGACCTCTGCCAGATCCTGCTCTACACATACCTCGACATGCTCCTCTACTTCACGAAGCAGAAGGACATAGCAAAGGTGGGTGCCTCGGCCTGACCAGGGCTCCTTGCAGGTTCCGCTTGCAGGGGCACGTTTACAGGACCTGATGGTTAAAGAATGTCACTGGACTGTGGGTGTCTCTAGGCTGGCTTTATTAACAACTCAGAGCTGGGCCGTCACCTCAGTGAGTGGCAGTGGCTAACAGAAGCTGCCTTCTCTATATATGATTCTACATAACGTTATGCACTACAAAAGTCTTTGGTGTTTTCCCATGAACTCTCAGCTCTTAATTCTTCATCAATTTCAAAAGTCCGTTATATTTCACAGCTTCAGCTGATTCTTATTGTTCTGTTCCAATTTTTGCTTCAGTTCCGGTGTCATATTTTGGGTCATCATCTTCATCTTCTACTAGTTTTCATCTTGCATAATTCTGAGAGACTTCACAACGTTCTATTAAAAGCTTAGGTAGAGCAAGCAGTTTCTATATACTAAATATTCTTAATCTAGCAAAACACCTGTGTTTAGTCAATTAATCCTCCTTTATTAAAACTGTCTCTCTAGTATTAGCTTGAGTGGGTTTTAAACCAGCCTTGGGTTGGGACTATGCAAGTAGCAGGCTAAGAACACTTCTCAGGCCTGCTGAACAGCATTCTGGTTGCTTTACAAGATCGCTCAGTCTTGAACACATTTCACCAGGCCTTGAAATCTATTTCAGATATACCAGGGGTTGTATTTAAAATTCTTCTACACTAATCTGTTGGGGTGGAACCGACAGTACAGGGCACAACACCTCATGCATGTGCTCTTACTCTTCTCTGCCATTCCAATAGCCTGCCCCAAAACCATAATCAGGGTTTTGGTTTTTACTGGGATTTTATACAACTGTTGGCCTGTCCTCCTGTGCTCTCTAGGTTTTTGCAGGCTACATCCAGCCCAAGGACCCCAGCAATGGGCAGATGTACCAGAAGACTTTGCTGGGCACCATTTTAAACATCTCCTGCTTGCTGAAGACCCCTGGCGTCGTGGAGAACCATGGCTATTTCCTGAATCCATCCCGATCCAGCCCGCAGGAGATCAAAGTGCAGGAATCCAACATCCATCAGGTGGGCAGAGGCCTGGCAGTGCCGCTCCCCCTGCGCTTGACAGCCTCTTGTTGCCTGGGGGTTAAAGACGGGGTGTCGGGCTGGAGTCCCACTGCTGCCTCTTTAATCTGCCCGCAACTAAGCAAATCACAAAACCACTTTAGGTTCTCCAGCTGTAACGTGCCAACAGTCTTGCCACTCCCTTGGGTTATTGTCACCCCAGGCCTCCTGTCAGACCAGTCCTGTTCTATCAGAGCATTGTCTGAGCTTGGGGAAGAGGGTTGGGAGGTACGTGTGCCACAGATACCACCACCCAAACTGGAGGTGCTACGTGAAGCTGATTTACCTTGGCTGTTGTAATTACAGGGAAATAGTTTTCTCTACCTGTCCTGTAATTAAAATGCTAATTGACTCCCCAGCAGAGAAACTAAGTGGCAGGCAGCATTCTCTCTCATGATGAAAGTAAATAGCTTCCTCAGGGAAGCAGCGCTGGGGGCGTTTCGGTAGGTGATGCCATGGGATATAAATACAGGAGTAGGCTGGGGTGCAGGAGCGGTCACAGAGAGGGGTTTTCCCAGCCACGTGTTCTTTCAGGGTCATTTTTGCTACGAAAAACATGTAAAGAACTTTTGGTTTACTCCCCATGGAAACAACTTGCTCTTAATTGTGCTTCTCAGTACGTCCGTAACAATTCTTTGCTGCCGGCCTCAGGATTTGACCCGCGAGTGTCTGACGGGTGACGAACTGAGGCGTCCCGCCGGAATTTGCGGGAGGTCCCTGCCCTAGGCGAGCTCTGAGCTCCCGAGCGATGGGAGAGGCGAGCGAGCGATCCCGCCAATGACTCCCTTCGCCCCGCTCTGTTCCCCGTAACAGTTCATGGCCCAGTTCCACGAGAAGATCTACCAGCTGCTGAAGAACCTGTTGCAGCTGTCTCCAGAGACAAAGCACAGGATTCTGTCCTGGCTGGGGAACTGCCTCCATGCGAACGCGGGCCGCACCAAAATCTGGGCGAACCAGATGCCAGAGATCTTCTTCCAGATGTACGCCTCGGATGCCTTCTTCCTCAACTTGGGAGCTGCCCTCCTCAAGCTGTGCCAGCCCTTCTGCAAACCCAGATCTCCGAGGCTGCTCACCTTCAACCCTACGTACTGTGCCCTGAAGGAGCTGAACGAGGAGGAGAGGAGGAGCAAGAACGTACACATGAAGGGTGAGCCCAAACCTCAGGGGGTGAGGAGGGGATCTCGCAAGGTGCCCCCTCAGCCTCTGCTGACAAAGGGGGAGTTAAAGATGTGACTAGAGAGGAGTGAGGGGAGAGCTGGGTACGAGTAAAATGCTGCCTGGCACCACCAGCAGTCGTTCTGTGTCTCCAGCCTTCTCCTCGCCAGTGCTGCCGGGGAGGGCTTGACCCGGAGACACTTTTAATTCCAGGTTTGGAAAAAGAAACATGCTTGATACCCACCCTGAGCGAGCAAGAGCCGGAGTTTGCCAACAGCTACAATCTGGTGACAGAGAACCTGGTCCTCACGCAGTACACCCTCCACCTGGGCTTCCACAGGTAGCTGCTCTTGGATGGCGCCCGGCACTGCTTGGCTCCCGTGTGCGCCCATGTAAATTTTCAGTAAATGCTCAGAATGCAGAGCAGGCTGGCAGAGCTGCCGAGTACCTTTCTCTGCGTGTTTTGACTGACATTTGGCTGATTTCAGAAGAAAACTTTGTCTACAGTTGCTTACAGTTAACATGAATGGTCTCGCGGGCTCTGCATTGTTTATAGAACTGAGCGCCAAGTGCTGGGTGTCTGCAGGTCACTTGGTTCCCCTCTCTCCTCGGGGTAAAGGCCCTACTTCTCTACCAGAAACATCTCAGCAGCGGAGCTTCTGCCCGCCG